GTAAAATCAAAAACTACATGACAAAGGCCAAAGTCCGAAGTCTATTAGGCCGAAGTCCAAAGATACTTCAGCCAAAGTCCGAAGACCTTTCGGCCAAAGGCCCTTTTGCGTCTTTGCGTATCCATACCAGCCACTTCCGACATTCATAACTCATTGATCCCTTATCCATTTCAAAAGTTCTTGGTCTCGTTAGAACCAGTGTGCCAAGCATTATCTATCGAAACTCTAACTAAGTCATATCATTATTAAGTGAAAAAGTTATGAGGTATTTACTTCATCAGATCACAACTCATCTAATTCAACTTTACAAGCCTACAAGTAAAAACACTAACTTCAAAGAGAGGAAGCTAAATGGATTTCACTACTACTAACTATAGCTCTACCACAGAATCCACTAGTAAATCTACTTTGTACTATACTTATCCTAACAGTGTGAAATTACTAGTCTTCTACCTCTCAAACTTCTCGTTTCGGAAAAAAAAGTAAAAACTAAGCACCACATTAGTCAACAACAAAAGCTGAGTAAATGGCAGCAGCAGAAGCGGCAAAGGAAGCTATTTGGTTGGATAGACTTATCATGGAGATGGGATGAACACAATGCGTGGTCAATCTTCATTGTGATACCGATAGTGCTTTATATTTGGCTGCGATCCAAGTCATGGATAGCAGAGTGAGGCACATCGACATCAAGTATTACTTTATTAGACAAACAATGTCTGATAAAACAATTGAGCTAGTCAAGATTGACGGTAAACTCAATCCAGCTGATACGTTGACCAAAGTTATTTCTTTGAAGAGTTTCAGGCGACATTGTGTTACTATGCAAGTTGTGCATAGTGACCACGAGAGATATGGTTCTTAGTTACCTCTGTATATTATAACTCTATCCTCTTATGCTACGGCTTAGTTTCAATTAGCTCTCGCTTAAAGAGGAACCTTGTGATATGTTTCCGTCTAGATTTTCCTGCGGAGTAATAATATAGGTTAAACAGGTGACTGAAATTCCTTGACATGAGTTAATGTGAGATTGTTGAGTTATCTCTGTATATTATTACTTTATCTTGGTCTGAGAGTAATAATATAGGTTAGAGAGGTGACTAAAATTCCTTAACATGAGTTAAGATGAGATTGTTGAGTTAACTTTGTATATTATTACTCTATTATGTTATGCCTACGGCTTAGTTTTAGTTCATTCTCGTTTAGAGAGGGATCTTGAGTAAGAATTTTGTCTAGAATTTTCCGCTGAGTAATAATATAGGTTAGAGAGGTTACAGAGACTTCTTAATGCGAGTTAAGGGGAAGATTGTTGAAGTTAACGTTGGTTAAGAAATTAATTGAGATTTTTTGCAAATCTAGCTATTTATAGCTTAAAGTGGTTGAGTACCTTGGGTATATATACCCTTAGAATGATAAGAAGACTGTCACTTCAAGCAGTAAACTTTCTCGTGTATTCCTCCGTGGACGTAGCCTCTTAGGATGAACCACGTCATATGTGTGTACTCTTGTATTTTCTCGTATTGTTTGATTGGTTAAGCGTGTCGATATAATTCTTGTGTTTTGCGTTTACACACATAACAAGATAAAGTAATAATATACAGAGTTACCTTAAAATCTCCCCTTAACTCGTGTTAAAGAATCTCGTTAAACACTCTTACCTATATTATTACTGTGCGGAAAGTTCTAGACAGAAATCTAACACAAGTCACCTCTTTAAACAAGAGTTAACTAGAACTAAATTGTAGCCATAACATGATAGAGTAATAAAATACAAAGGTAATTCAATCAATCAATTTACTGTCAATCTTAATTGGCTCAATCACTTGCTCAAAATCTTAATCACTTCCGATGCTCCTTTTTGATCATTAATCACATAATGATCAAACTTCTCCACAACCATATACGTGAACGGAGGTTTCTTCTTGTTAGCACAGAAAGCTAAAAAACTCTTCCATTTTTTCAATAAGCAAATTCTCATTGAAGGAAACATTCAACTTGAAAAAAAAAATACAAAAAATCCATAGCTTGTAATATTGTTATTCTAAACCGCAAATATCATCGTTCCAGATCCTCTAAACTATTACGTTGTCATCTCAGTATGTCAAACATCTATATACAAAATTAATTTCAAAGGCAATTTCCTCCGTTTGGATCATCTTTTAGCTTTCGAAAATGGTTTAGATGCTATAGTTGCGTTGAGAGCTTTTCAACAATACCCAATTTGCTTATATTTTGACAAAGATTCTTGCGAAGTAAATATAACAAACAAAATATGTACTCATCGTCGTCCATGACCGTCGCCGTCGTCCATGTTCCAGTCGTCACTATCACCGTCACTGTCTACCATTACTGTTGATTTGCCGTCAACTTTCATCGTCTTCCGTCGTTGTCACCGTTGATTATCGGATGTCACCATCAATCATAGATCATCAACTTCGTGTATCCTACCATCATAATTATGAGCCAAACGTGGTTGGCATGGCCGACCGGAGAACTAGAGCTATTTAAGATAAATTTTCACTTTCAAACTCAATGTCTAGGTTAAATTTTTTGCCAATGAAGAAAGCACCTCGTCTACTTTCCTCGAATAAGACATCTGTTTTTTGGCATGTATGTTTTTCACGAAAAAACAAATGAACTATCTTCGAGCATCTTGAAATTGAGAATTCCAAACCATTGTGAGTTTTGAAATCTCTCGAACCATATCACTGTAAGATTCTTACGAAAGAATTTACATCAGTTTCAATTGAGCAAATGTAGCGTTAGTTTCTACCAAACGATTCATTATTTCAAACACAAAAACAGTTAGCAAAACCTGTCATTGAAAAAAACCCTTCGCTGTCAAAAACTAAACAATTTCCGTCAATGTCTGAAATCACTTTCGGCTTGTCTCAGAAAACTGTAAGTAAATTCACCGCGTTCTCTTTCAGCTTTGTCTCCAAAAACCATCAGCGAAACTATCACTGAAACCGTCTGGTCTCAGAACTCATATTTGAATATTTCTTTGAAAAAATCAGAAAAGTTGCCCTTGTCAAAAACTAACAATTGTTTTTAGAACTTTTCACTGTCAAGAATTTTATCTTGGAATAACCTTTAGTAACAAGAATCTGTCACCATCGAAAACGTGTCACCAACATAAACCCGTCAAAGATAGTAAATCAATATTCCGTGTTTGACTTCAATTCCAACAACACAACCTTGTCACACGCCAAGTCAAAAACCAGCTGTGATACCATTTCTAAATGTAAAACCTGAGATTCAAGCCAAGCCATCAACACGAGACACAAAAAAATAACGTGATTCAACCTCAAGGTCTACATCCACGGAGGAAGAGCATTGTGATATCATACTGTGCGTACTGTCTGGTAATACACAGACCCTGAGTATATATATCCAACATCGGTGACCAATCTCAACTATAAATAGCTACTCATGAAATTACTCGTTAAACAAAGTTAATCTCAAAAGCAAATTAATCAAAGAACACATTTATATTCATTAGATCAAATATTCTTTCAATGAAAACATAGCAAAATATGTTAGAGTTTTACAAATTCATAATGTGTTAAACTGGTTTTTTAAGTTTTCATAAAATTGTAAATATCAAATTATTAAGAACATATATCTTTTAAAATTATCATAAATTATGATAAATTATAATTTTTACATATCTATTCTTTACTACAACTAGTGTCTTATGATTTTAGTCTATCATATTAGGGACGTTATTATTCATTGTTCTCATGCTACAGTCAGTAGCTAGGAGAAAATCTTTTAGATTCTTTTCCTGCTGAGTGGATGAATAACTTGTAATGTATTTTTTAGACTTTAAGTCTCACGGGCTTGATCTATTTACCATAAACCAATAATTATATGAAAAAATCACAATAAAACAAAAATATGTATGTTAAATGACAAAAAGTTGTGTAGTTATTGATCTTCATCATACCGGAGACATTAGAGTAAGATTAGTTTATGAAAACTATTTGAGACATAAAATCTACTCCTTATCACTAGCTGTTTCAACTAGATTCGAGTGGACATGTCGATATGTGGACACTTCAAGTGAGATGTTGTGTCAAATCTAGAATTGGATATATTTGCAAAATGTGCATTATTAGGTAGAATATGTAATCATATATGTGAGGGCTGAAAGTAGTGATATACGCCTTTGCATCGTTAGTGTCATACTTCCTTTGACCAATAGATTTTAGATTGATTTTGATTCAAAATTTTGGATCTAGAATGATGACATGCAAGTGTGTCTGAAACTTTAGCTATTAAATTGATCATTTGGCAAATAGCAGATGTCGAAGATTAAGAAGCGTCTGAAACTATAGTTATTAAATTGATCATTTGGCAAATAGCAGATGTCGAAGATTAAGAAGCGTCTGAAACTATAGTTATTAAATTGATCATTTGGCACATAGCACATGTCGAAGATTAAGAAGCATCATATGATGAGAGTTATCAAGAACAATGATTTTCAAGATTAATAGCTCATACTAGAGCTATAAATGAGATTTGATGTGTTTCTAAACCTAGTAAATGATATTTTAGACATATCTCCATTCAGTTGACTTGAAGAAGCATGAAACGACTTGAATGTACATGGATCACCCAGATTAAAACTATGTCTTGTTGTTATAAGATGTTCTTGACTTTATCAAATAATTTGGGCACATTGTGGGTTTTATAGTGAATTATAGTGTTATATGAACACATGTGTATTGCATTACATTGTGCTTTGGATCTGCCATCGGGGAAAAATAGATGTTGGTTTTGTTGGAATTTTCTTTGAAATATAGAATATTGGATCTCATTGTACTTTTTAATCCACCTTCTAGTACTAAAAAATAAAATAAAAAGTTTGTGTCGAACATTTCCATATTCTATTCCGTTAAAAAAAACTAAAAGAGAAGAAATAATAAGAGTTGTTTTAGTAGAAGAATTAATAAATTAATATATTAATGCTAGCAAGTCAAAGAGTGACAACCGACTCTGCCATCTATTGCTTCTTTCCATATGATGATTAGTTTAATATTTTCTCTCAGGCATGGGCTCGATACATTTGAGAACGTTACTCATGCTTGTCAGGGCTGTTCAGGAGCCTCCCTAGAGAGAGAGAAATGAAACCTAGCCCTAAAAGACAAGAAGCACTGATCTGAAAGAAACACGAGCGACGACCGTTACCGTGATGATTTTCAGATGCAGTGACCGACACAGGAGAGAGAAATTGTCGGAACTCCACTCCCCGCCTTTCTCTCGCACTCGATCTTCGATTCTGCTCCCCTTTCGTCTTGGTCTTCGTGGGAAGTGCTCTTTCATGATTTTCTTACCGCGGTGCTGGTCGGTGCGGGTTGAAGCTCGGAGAATGCTGCCAACGACATTCCGGTGTTTTGACTGGAACTCTTGTCGACGCGATAAGCAATGATCACGGCCTAAGTGACTGCATTGATTCTCGAAATTGCGGAGAAGAGCGTGAGCCAGCTCAGTTGCTTGCACTGGACACATATATTCGCGGCCCGTCGATGGGTTTACACCTTGGCAGGACGCGCACTGAAGTCCGGTCTTCGTTGTGAACATGGCGAGAGGCAAGGAGAGAGAGAGAGAGAGGGAGAGGGAGATGGGGATGATGGTGTTTCATAATTGATGCATTTTCCTGTACGTCAACACGAGGGGGACACGGTTGTGCTCATGGTGGCAGTTTCTGGCACCCACCCGCACATTGTTCTCGTTCACGGGGTTGTTCTTATGGCCGAAAGCTGCCGATAGATAACCTGTGTCATGAACCGATTATAATATGGTAAAGTAAGGTAAGGTGCAGTGCACGTTCGTTAGGCTCTTCGCGTTAGATGGTCGTCGAGCGACTACCACGTTCGGACATAGAAAGTGGAGTACATAAACACCGCCTCGGACCTATTGACCTATAGCTGCATGAGGGATGAACGAGGGTCTCGCCACTCAATGGCGAGCTCAGGTCGGCGTGCTTTGTTCTGTTGCAGTGGAGGCCGTTGGCAGAGGCCCAGCCAACTTTGCTGATGACACGGAATGCAGCCAATAGAATGTGAAAGGAGCCGGGGCCCAAGTCGACGGGCAAAATTCAACAACTTCTTGGGCAGGTAGAGAGAAGCAGCGGCGAGAGGGCTATCAGGACTCCTTGCCAGGGCGAAAGTTCTCGTAATTATGATGGCATGTCCTCCTAGAGCGGCCTAAGTCGCTGCGTTGATGGTAGAGGGGAGAGAGAACCCCGACTTCAGCCTGCGAACAACGAATGCAACCTAGCGCAGAGATCACTAGTTAAGACTGGCACCCATGGCCCAGTCTCTTGACCTGCATGAGAGTCATCCGGGAGGCGTCGCTAAGGAAAGATCCTAAAGACAGACAGACAGACAGACAGAGAGGGAGAGAAAGAAGTGATGTTAGCAAAGATGCCGTGAAGCCGCTGATGATTGCAGGTATGGCAGTGGATCCAGCAAAGCCAGAAGTTTCAACGCATGTCCAGTCATTATGGCCCTTGCCAGCATGTATCAAAGCCTGGTAGTGCTATCCTTGGCCCTAGCAGGCCTGCGTAGAGTAACATAAAACGAAAGAACGGCAATCTGATCACAGGCCATGAAACCAGCACACGGGACTCGGCTCATTCGATCTTCAGAGGTCACCGGAATGACTGAGAGTGCAAATCATGTCAATATCCCTGACTACATGTAAACCCTAAACCCCTAAACTTCAGTCGTCCAGCAATTCGTCGACACTCAAAGCACAACTGAGACTCACGAAAGAAAAAATCTCCAGAAAGGAAGATGAGAAAGGACAGGGGAGACAGACCGAGAGCAGGGGCGAGAGAAGAAAGTGAAGAAGCGTGAGAGGGAGGGGAACCACGGACGAGAATAAAATTCAGTTGTACTTCAAGGATGAGTCGTACATTTCTCAACATACACTCATTGCCATAAAACATCAGGATTTGGACAGAGCAGTTTCCAACAATCTTACATGGTCGATACCTATTCATCGAGTACCTGTTTCCTGTTGCTTAAACAAATTAACCAAAAGAACTACCGAAATGGACACATGTTAGAAGAACAAGTTGATCCATGATCCAAACAGTATTTCTAGGCAAAGAAGAACTGCCAAATGCATAGTCCTGCTCGTAGAAATTGCATCAATAGCCTAATGATAAGCTCTTCCTTTTGCCTTTACTCTCTCCATTATTCTTATATTGCTTCTTGATAAGTTACTTCTTGCTATAATTCCAACACTTTATATCTGATTCCTACTTTCATTTCACCACACTTGATCATTCCTCGTTGCGGCACTTCGTAAATACCTAAATGATTGAGGAACAAGTGGTTGGATTAATTTTATCTGTAACCTCATCCGAAAATAGAATTGTAGAATAAAATGGAATCGTTTCATCACATTGGATTTCTGAGAAAAGTACTTGATGTATCCTTACGGGAAAGAAAAATTCATCTTACCATATGGGATTCACGTAACTGAGCTGCCACCCATGTTCCAGTACAAAGATTTTGTAGCTATATACTTGGCGTCTATAGTGGTGGAACTAGTACAATTGGGGAAATTTGCCATTTCAACTTGGAAAAAATAAGCCATTTTTTCACTCTCTTCCTTCATTCTCTCGTACTCTTTTGTCTTATTTTTTCATGTTCCGTGCCTTTGTGTACGCAAATAAATCTATTGAATCCAAAGATGTGATTGAGGTCGTCCAACCTCCAACTTGGGAGAAAATTGCCGTTTCCTTTCCACTCTTCCTTCATTCTTTCTCACTCTGTACTCTTTCCTACTCTTTTGTGACTTCGAGGATGCAAACAGATCGACTAAACCCGAAGGTGGAACTTAGGTCGGCCGATCTTCAACTTCTGGAAAACTTGTCATTTCATCCCGCTCTCTTCCTTCATTCTCTCTCACTCTCTCCTTCTTCTTTTCTGTTCCATACCTTCATGTGCGCATATGTCTATCGCCTAGTGTTCGAATGTTGGTGCACTTGGCTTGCTGACGAAGTAAAGGGCATGTACGATATTTGAATATGAATTACGATGTGCCGTCAGTGGGTCCCATTGTGTAGCATGAATCGAGTTGGGTCCCCGGAAAGGTTTTACGCCGGGTACCATCAAGTCATTTTCTTGTATTTGTAGCATACTAAACTCCCATACAAAATATTATGGATTTGAATTGAATCGAATATGTATTTTGCAATGAAAGCAAAGAATCGGCTCTCTTTTGGCATCCTTCTCACCAAGACGTTTAAAATCAACAAATTAAATCCATCGAATTTTGTACATTTTGACATCTTGAAAATCAGGATATTTACATTTGAATAGAAGCTTGTTGATGTAAAATTTCATTGTTATCCTACTTCAACTAATTATAAATCTTCATTCATAAATCCTTGTGTATAAATGAAGGAATGTCTCTTGACACGAGTGTAGCCTGGTTATGCTCACATCACAATCACAAATTTCAATCCGATCGTACTCCTTCATATCAATTTTTTTCTTAAATTCCTAAACTAAATCGTGACAGTTAACTATACTATTCCATTAACTTGCCACAAGATGAGAAAGTTATGATATGTGAATTATTTAACTTCATGCTCCATACAACTAAGTTTTTAAGTAACAAATTGATTACTCAAAACAACTTTTGACCTAAATCCTATTCAAAATAAAGGTGATTAAGATATTAAAAAAACATATTTTTAGAGATTGTGTGCAATGTCTAATTCCGGTCGAAATATTTGCAATATCTAATTTTTTTCAAATATATCTCTACTTAATCTCATCAACATCCAAGGTTCATAGCTAGTTCACAACCAGAAATACGTGATTTGTAATTATTTTCAGCTTAGTGTTGTACATACATCTTAGATCATACTTTCTTTTGGATTCTCTCCTTATTACATCCTATCACTTTTCCATCGTTCACTTTTCATCACTCCATTATTGATAGCATGAATCAAGTTAGTTTCAACCTCATCGATGTATCTCACACATGTGTTGTGTGAAGAGATGTATTTTCTTGAATATAGGACATTTTTTAGAACTAATTCACTTCTTTTCAACTTCTATTGCCCTTATATAATACCAGTTTGTACTAAAGACTTGATAGTTATTGATCAAAATGTAAGTTAGTTATTGAATGCTGATGATCAATAGTTTGATGTGCAGGAGTACATATGTTGTAGCAACAACATCTTAAAAAGAGAAGTAAGCATAAAATGTTTCTATCTTTATCATAAGATTGAAATTGTATAGAGTGATGCATGAGCATTTCAACATGTTAAAAACACATATATTTATTGTACTTTGTTGAACAAATCACACAATTATTATTCAATCAAAGTATTGTGAACTAATTTTTCTTTAGTGAGTTTGATTTTATATATGTATTAGAAATATTAGCTAGCATTAAATAAGAAATACTCAAGTTAATTTTATGAAATATGAGATGTTATTGTTGTTTTAAATATCATTTGATATAGATTTTTTATATTTTGTTCAGAAATTTTTAAATCTTAATAGTTTGTAAGTTGTAGATGCATAATTTATAATACTATAATTTTGAATTTTTCCACTTGATTTGATTTGATTTTTCTCTCTTGTGCAAAATTGAATTTTACGTCTTTTGTAACCATTTTTAGCTAGTTAGAACTAAAGTAGAAGTATTTCAAGATGAAGTTGTAATTACTTTAAGTTTCATTAGTCATAGTTGCCATGTTAGCGATTCGTGTACAATACACACTCGCTTAAGTCCGCATTTCACAACGCAAAATTCTCGGATCAATTTTCTCAAAAATGTTCAATATTTTACAAAAAATTGAACAGAGTCATTTGACGGCTATTGTCAATTCACTCCCAAGCTATCACGCACCAGACGGTTTGTAAATTGCAGCGGAGGGTGAATAGTGACGCCTTGGCTTGATTTATATGGTCCGATGACAAATATGGCGAAGATTTCAGCTCACTCATATTGACTTCTAAGCTGACTGCACTCTCTAAAGACTGAAGGATAACATCACGCTAATCAATATCATCGTCAGTCGAGGTTGGTTCGGCTTTATCATCTTCGAGGATTCGTTGACAGGCTCCTAAAGAAGGAGTGCACCCATTGCATGTTTGATCTCTTCAAGAAGAGTGTTTTTGAATAGCTTTAAGTCGTCGTTGTCATCAATCAGACAATGCTCAATCTCACCTCAAATGTCAATATTGTGCTTGTCACTCAAGATATCACAATTGCTGAGCAAACGAGCAATTTTGTCCACAGTTCCGTCATTGTCGGTGCCAAGTTCGGTTTTTAGAAATGCAAAAATAATATTTGTCTTTTCAAGCAGTCTCTCAAACTCTCAGCGGAAATTTTGTTCCAGGCAATGTTAGCGAAGTTTGCAGCATCTAACAGATGTGGAGAACATCCATTAAACATCCATGCAGGGTCTCACTTCAACTTTGATGCAGCTATTGCCAGTTGATACTTCAAACTTTGCAGATTATCGTGGTAGGTGATCATTTCGTTGAGCAACAAATACTTGTATCGCTTTTTTAGAGCAGCAATGATGCCCATGTCCATCGGTTGCTTCCACGACGTATTATTTGACAGAAAGAACACCACGCAGATATCATTTTGCTCAAGGGCAAATGAGAACTAGGAGCATTATCAAGGATAAAGAGAACTTTATGATCGGTACATTTGCGAACATATGGTTCAAAAACCTCATCGGACCACTTCTAAACCTCGACACGTCAATCCATGCGTTCTTCTGCTGAAGATACGGAAGAGGCCAGGTGTTTCCTGAAATACATGCGAAGTCCTTTGCCTTTTCCATCATGGTGATTGATACTTGTTGAGTCCTTGTGGCATTGCAACAAACCACAAAAGTCATGTGGTCTTTTGCTTTTTTCTGTCTTCGGAGTGTTGACGTATCTTCATTTGACATCAAGATTGTGTAATTTGGAACAAGTTGAAAGAAAAATCTAGTTTGTCCATATTGCACACTCAAGCTGGATCATGCTGGTTGATAATTGCACATAACTTATGCAAAGCTCGCTAAGTTTCAAGATTATATTTGTCAACCTAACCGCCTTCACCAAACAAGTTTGTGCTGTTTAAACCAAACCGATGACGAAATCTCAAAAACCATACCCAAGAAGCCTTGAACTTATCATCACCTATCTCCATAGCCTCATTAAATTGTTTTGCTTTGTGGCAAATGAGATTGGGCAGCAAAACAAGCGACATTTGACATCCAACATCAACACATTCGAACAGCCGTTTCTCAAGCTAAGTAAACAATGACTGCGAAATGTGGACTCTTGAGTGGCTTGGTCAACCCTTTGAGCTCGTTTGCAAATCTCATCTTTGCTTGCTTTCAATTTTTGAATAACCTTCTCGTCGACACCGTATTGACAAGCAATGTTGTGATTAGTCGGCGGTTTGAATTGCTCCAATAAAGTGATAATTTCCATCCTTTAATAGTCATTTTGACGCTGGCCCTGACCTTTGCGTTTCATCACACGTTGTTCGCTCATGATTGCAAATGAACTCAAAATTGTGTTTACTATGTATTAATTTTATTATTATATGGGGTGTTCCTAATATTCCTTAGACCCGCATCTCAGTTAAGTCCGCATCAAACTTCCAATATCAAGTTGCGGACTTAAGCGGGTGTATACTATATTTGGTAGGTAGAGTAAATGTGTTAGTTGACAACATCATGCTAGCGGCCCTACGCTTGTTAAAGTTTTTAGCCATGTCATCCATCTATTAGGTGTTAAATGGAGGGTGAAAATAATGTTTTATCTTTTTTTTATTTGTTGGTAATATCTATATAAGAGAGAGTTGAGAACTATTGTTGATATTTCTCATAGTATAGTACTATGTATTTATTTATTTGTAAATCCTAGTTACTAAACTCTTTTGGTGATAAATCAATGTCTATTGAGATTTGAAATTTGAAGAAAAATTATTTTTCATTTGGAAATAACTACAATGTTCCATAAAAGAACTTTCTTTTTTATATTATGAAAAAATAATGTCTACCCTGTTTTTTTCAAAGGTTTGAAACTCAAACATGCGGCTATGTTCACTCTTATCAAGCCTCTATATGATATGGGACGTAGTGGAATCAAAAATAGGTGTAAAGAATGTAGAATGAGATGGAACAGCAGATAATCAAATCACTATTTTCATGGAGAAGCTATATAGAGTATTCATAAGTTTATTGAGTTTTAAATTGTTGAGCCCAATATTATTGAAATTTTTGTCTAAAAGATAAACCTATAATCATTACATACATTCTATCATTTTACTTTTACAAGAACGAGTATGATATGTAGGGCTTTCATATAGAATTGCACAATCAGGAAAATGAATATTTTCCTGCATGAATAACTCAAAGCTTGTCAAGTGGTATGAAGAAGGTGCTCATGTATAACACTAAGAAAGATGGGAGGACCGCATCAATCACCCATTTTCCACACACATGTGGATTGCTCATATTCTTGTCATATAATAAATTATACAACTCGTGAGCGAAATAAGTTGATACTAATATCGATTTAGTCAGATTCATATACTTTTGTCTTCACAATTAGCAAGTATGTATCGAAATTGACAACATATCTTCCACTTACAGTTTTCCTCGTATTGTTTGTGCATCTCGTCACGACCGTGGCCCACACGCTGAATGTTATTACAAATTTCCGCCTACAATCTCGTCAAAAACATGTCGAAGGGTCTTTCTATATCTAGATATAATTCATCATCGGTGACAGCAGGCTACGTGCACCTGTAGGACTTGGCATGGGGGCGAACAGATTCACGCTGAAGAGAAGGGTCGGAGATTGGATGACGTATGGCCAGGTCAATAAGCAGCGAGAGAACAGCTCGAGGGCCCAAAGGTTCGGTGGAGCAGAGATGGCAAGCCCAGCCGAGGGGAGGGAGATGGAATCGTAGCAGAGATGGGTGCAGCGACTCTGCATGCTCTTCATCACATTACGGAGGCATGATTGCGTGTGAGGAAATTGTGTCTTTCTCGTAGAGTTGGCTTGACCAACGAGGGCGCGGAAGAGGAAGAGGTGACATCAGACGGACAGCAAAGCGCTTCCGTTGCGAAGAACGGGAGGGAAACAGGGAGCTTGTCGTGTGCTGCGCTGCTGCTGCTGTTGCTCGTGTTTTTGTGCTCTTTATTTGTCGAATGCGCTCCGAGAGATGCGAGCCCCGTTCCTCACGAGTCGAAAAAGTCGTTTCCTGGCTTACCATCATTGGAATTTGGACATCCGTCCTTCCCTACAGGATGCTCTGGGTTCTAGCTTTTTCCCCAAGATAGCAAAAGCAGTTTCCTCGGCGAAGGAATGTCGCTCGATGGTTGAAATGAGCAGGACGGTACTTTCACCACGACGATTACTACGGCTGCTCCTCGCACTACAGGACAGTTTATTACAGAATATTCGACGACTTGCAGTCTTCGTTGAAGCAACCGACTTCAATATACATTTCGTGATTTGATTCCTAATCAACTGTACCGAAAGTATGCGATTCCGTTGGAGATTCAGGACGGACGAGAAATCTGAACGCAGCACAAAATAGTTACACGATCAGGCTCTTCATTAAACCCTAACGCTCTGTTGCTGTACACCTAATAGATCGGAAACCGACGACGGGCGCCCAACAAAACTCATTTATTGTTGAAAAGGTTCGATTCCATTCTTTCGGATGGCCGAAGACAGCGTTCCTGTTGTGGGGCATGAGGCGGACGGGGAGGAGGGTGAGGGGGGATGGGTCTCAGTGGAGGGGGGGATGGAAGGAGTGAGGGATACAGTCGCCAGGAGTGAGATGCCGGGCCGGGCTTCTGTATGGAAGCAGCTACATGGCCTCTGTTACCTTTCCGAATTTGTTTTGTGAATGGCCCTCATTCCTTGAAGTTGACGCAAGGTAAGTTCGGAGAAATAATGGGGGCCTGCACTGTTGGCACTGTTCTATGAAAGGTCGACCTTGACGGAAGTTGGTCAATCGAAATTCTCACACTTTGGCACCATTCGGAGCAGCGTGATCTGGGGGAAAGGCCTTGATGCGCGGATTGGCGATTCCGTGGAGGTCCATCCTCGGGGATCAGTTGCTGCTGCTCCTTGGAAGAAGCGTTCGGTCATGACAGCGAGCCATGGGTCAAACGAGATGAAGTAGATAGACTACCGCACTGCTGTATGAGCATTTGACATCGAAGTGGTGCACGTTTAGAAGTCGTGGCCGACGAGGAGCCCCACCATGCTGGGCTTTGCGGGGGTTTGACCGATGATTGATTTGATGCGAAGAGGGATGGAGACAAAAGCGACATAGCAGTGGAGTCGACTGCAGGGCAGCGCTGCACACATTATGCGTTTCGTGTAAGATTCCCAGAGCACGATTATTGCCCTCTTTCTTCTCTATTGTACCGATGCAATTCATTCTTTGCGCGGGCCATCATGCACGAGACTTCCCAGTATATTCTCTCTCCTGCTGGAGGTCGCTGGTTGGCCGCGACACGATCAGATGACATACGATGCATAATCATCTGAATGGACGGGGAACCGGAAGAGCCGCAAATCAATCAATCAATCAATCAAGAGCAAGCCAAATCTCTCCACCTCTCTGCATCCCCCAACAATCCATTCCTTCCAGCGGGAGAGGGGGAGGTGGGGAGGTGGGGTTGGGGGATCTCCTGGCTTCTGCACGATATGTTACGACGCCAAGCGTTTGGATCAGAGACCATAATGGGGACGAGGGGTGCGATGGACCGACATTTTCTACCTCTCCACAGCATTTTTATTCTCTTCTCGAATGCTTTTCGAGAGTAAACGAAAGTCTACGCCACGGCCACCGACGAAGCCAAGTGGGAGAGCGGAGCAGATCAAAACAGAAACACAGCATAGATCCCTCCTCCATCGCCCGTCGATCCGCGCGCAGCCAAGCCATCCCAGCCATTGTGGAAGCCGACGATATTATGGTGATGATGGTCTCCAACGCACCAGCAACAACCATGTCCCCCTTTACTGTTAATTTACTGTTCGCCATATCACTTGGTCCCCCCCCTGCTCCCCTTTCTTGTCCTAGCAGCAAGCCATCTATAATACGGTTTGCCAACAAACGAACAGACCTGGAGGGGATGGCTCGGATGGCTGCGATTGGAGAGCAGCAGGGATCTATGTGAGGGCTGGGTGGAGCACGACTTTCCCCATCCAGCAGTCCGACTACGGTTCGGTACAGATTCCCCAGTAGCCTTCTCTACGTCTCCATGCCTCCATGCGATACGGTACTAGCACGTCCTGCAGTGGCTACACGTAGCAGGTCAAAATATACCTCCCTTCCAATCTTGCGGGCTGCGTTGCCTCCCTCTCTTTTCTCCTGCAGATGGATAGAAAGTGATCCTCTCGTCGAATCCACGGGCAGGAGTGGCTAGGGAATTTACTATCCGAGATCAAAGGGATTCGCGAGGCCGTAGGGAGCGAGCGAGCGAGCGAGCGAGGGAGGTGGTGGGCGGTTCCATCGTGCCGCTCTGGTGCGTCGGCGTCTGATGTCCGTTCGTTGCGCTCGAAGGTCTGCCCAGTGCACATCTCCTGTTCTGGGGAGGACGGGTCACCCTTCAGATAAGACAGGCGGAGGAGGGCGTTGGGAAGGACTCGGGAATGAGTGGCCTGCGCATGAAGGAACGGGTTCCGAATCAATGAATCAATGCATCGATGAATCAGTGAATGAATGTATCGATTTTGGATGGACATTGTAGATCTGAATTGAAGTGCACCGGCCGGACGCCGCTCCACTGCACTAAACTCGCTCTGTCCTGACCGAGTGCGAACCATCCGTCCCGCCCTGCGGGTCCTGCCGCGATCTCGTCGATGCGTAAAGGCACCTCGAGCTCGCCCTGCGCCAGTGCAGTCCGTGAAGTGAACTTGAAATCCACGCCAAGCGCGAAAATCCACCATTGCTTGATTATGTACCAGGTCGGATGAGGTGCATCTGAATGAATATCTGGGTCGTTGGCAGATCGCTGATTCCTGGTACTGTACAAGGACGTGTTGACGTCAAGTTCGTGTGGCCAAGTAGTCAAAATCGATAGTATAGTCAACTAATATACAAACATGAAGACCCCATCGAGCAATACAAGTATGAGTCCAGAGAGGGTAGCCACTTCAATAGTAGTTCAAGTACCGATGAAATTGTCTTAATATTGCGGGAGGATTTTCTATTCAGAGTCATCATAATCTCATGAGTTTTAATATGTTCATGTGACATGATTCTCTAATATGGATACAGATTTTTCCTGGAGATAACCTGCACACTTCTCTAAATATTATACATTTATAGCGTGATGTCTATTGTAATATAGTATGGTATTACTTCACACCACTTTGTATATTTTAAATATACACTGTAAAGTACTGGTGGATTCTCTCACAATATCTTTCAGAATGTGTCCAAGTGGAATCTCATACCTTTGAGTAAATTCCAAAACGAACGCTCGTTTGATAACCTCAAAAGAAAAATAATTAATGTATAAATTCAAACCATATAATTTCAAAGCTAAGTAACTTGAATTTGGAAAAAAATTAGTAAGGTGGATATGCAAAGTACACTCAAATATGCTTGGAAACATTGGTTGATGCGGTTGTATTCAATTATCGAGGAAGATATAGTATCACCCTAAAAATTTGCCTCTACAATTTTAATTTGGTATTGCTTACAAAGTATATGTATGACATGATATAATACGAGTAGTAATATCATATTATAATATAGTAGAGTGAAATGCATATCAATGTTCCTTCCATTTGAGAAATACATGGACTCTTGAGCCATAACGAACATATCATCTCATATAGCATCATGTTAATATATATTCTTCATCATGTACTTTTTCTAGATAGCATATTTGGTTACTATAATGCTTATACATGATATAACCAAAAGATCCACTAGCGTGCAAGGCTGCTTGAAAGAAGTTGTTCAAGCTGGGAGTGATTATTATCTTTAATAAAAGCAATTGCTTGTCTTTGATGTGTAACATGCTAAAGACTAGAATTGTTTTTTTTGTTGTTGTTACACATGACATCCTTTGCTACATAAGAAGAGAGTCTAGAAGTTATAAGTTCGGGTCACAATCATTCCTCATGGAGGCATACCATGACACATAGCGTAAAACCATACGAAAAGTGAATGATAACAATTTATTAAAAAATTTGTGGCAAATCTGTTGTTATTTCAAATTTTTAATATATGGTGCTTTCAAAGGATGCATTCTACATGCATTGATAAAGATGATAAATGCAATTCTTCATTTCTAACATGATCACGCGTGAGTTCAGACAAGAGGATGGACATAGATTATATTAGTATTAGAGTGGTTGTTCAGACAATTGCTTTGAAAAGAGGACCTATGAGTCAGAGAGAAACTGTGCAATCGTACATCTTAGGAGCTGATCTGGTTAGGTTTAAAGGAAGGCTAGGTTGTAGATGTTTCATGTGGTGGTCGTTGTTCTCACGCGAGACGTTGATGTAATGGGAGTCATTGGACTCACGTTGGAGATGATGTGGAGTTTAGCGCCTATGATTACACCTGAAAGTATGTTGATCAACATGGGGAACACAGCTTCACTCTTTGGGGCCTTGGAGATGGATTGAGCGTCATGCTAATTTGGATTGTTCTGGTCAATAGTGTGTCCGGAGTTACCGAGAAAGTTGTAAAGTAGACAACTATCTCTGCCATAGTGTACGATGTACTGCAACGTTGTTTCTCCATGGTCTTACGACTATGGAGTATAGCCATGTAGGCTATTCGACTAAAATGAAGATGAGTGAAGTTTGTATTCGTCCCGGTTACCAGAACTCCTCATGACTTTCTTTCATGGACCCTTAAAGCGTTGGAAAGATAACAACTTGCAACATCAGAGATTGGATCTCTTTCTCTTTCGATCTTAGGCGGGATTCTCTTGTCCTTGATGGCTTTTGGTTTTTACAGCTAAATTGGGGTTTTACACGGGGTTTGTCAGCCCACTCGCCTCCGTGTTTGATGTCTTTACTTGGCACATACATGTCAGCAAGATGGGATGAGAAATGTCATGCCTGGATTCTAAACCTACGTGAGTTCGATTTCATGAGCTGAGAACGCACTCTGAGGGGACACTGAGCTAACCTTTCAGATCAATTTTTATCATCATACCCTAGACGTACCGGTTCATGACCTGGTCGACCTCACCGTATTCTCGGTGGTCACTTTGTGGTGACACAAGCGAAATCGAGATAACTGTACTCTGCGACCGACGACGGATAGTAGCTCAGACGACTGAACGGGGACTGACAGGTGAGCAGGCAGACAGGCAGATCTGTACGTTTGTGTGTACGATGGCGAGAGAGGGAGAGAGAGAGAGAGAGAGCAGGACTGATGTGGTTCATGTACCGTCCGTTGGCCAAAATGAAAGGCAACGAATCAACGGATTGCCGCCAACCCAAAGGAGAAAGATGAGTCAGAGCTCAGGTCAGATGTTGGTTACGGGCAGAGTACACAACAGAACAGAACTGAAGCGAGCAGAGCAGAGCAGGAGAGGCGAGTGTGGTGTTCGGGCTATATTTGGGATGAGGGATGAACTAAGAATCCGTAGCAGCGAATGAATGGGCCGCTAAGTATCGCTCGGTCAGAGATAGAGAGAGGGAGAGAGAGAGAGAGCTGCTCCATCATACCTGGACTGAACTCAATAGTTACGCAGTGATAGATAAGCTTCCGTTGCTGGGCGTCATGGTTCTGACTGGTCGGTACGTCTCTCGCTCGACATGATGCTCAGTCTGACTCCAGGCCCAAGGGGGACCTCCTCAAGGCCGGACTGTGGTGGGCTGGGGCTCGTCGCGACCTGCCACGGGCCGACTGCGGTCACTGGAGGAGCGGGGAAGACTGCCCTGAGGTGCAGCTCGATGAGCGGAGCATGCACAACTGGACGCAAAAGCTAAAGCGCGCCCTGCTGGCGCTCTGCATCTCGGCCGCTAGTGAGCGAAGAAGCTCTGTTGCGGGGTGTTGCGGGTCAATCGCGTCCCGACGCTTTGCGCTCTCCTGCCCCCCGGCGCACCTTTTGCTTTTCCCAGTCTCCCCTTTGCCAGTTCGTTCGGGGCCGCTGGATGGCCGCTGGGACTTCTGTTAGTCGCGCTCGTAGGGCAGGGAGGGAGGGAGGACGACGACGACGACGACGACGAGAGAGAGAGGTAGCACCAGCCCCAGCCCGAGCACCAGCGAAGCAAGCCAACCAGCGGGCGAAGCCAGCGCCAGCAGCCAAGCCACCACCGCCCCCCGTCTACCTAAAACCCCTTTTCTCGGAGGATCCTCTGACGATCGGTTGATAGAGAGTATTTCTCGTTCACTGGTACGTCGCGGTCGGACCGCCCCCCTCCACCATTTCCCCTCTTTGCCGCATTTGTCCAAACGGTCGTGGCAAGCCCCAGGCGCCGTTTTCCATACAGACGGATCGGCGCACCTGAACGCCCACGTGATCTTGGCCCCGTTCCCGTCACTGAGCTCTCTTTCCCCCCCTCGCGCGGGCATGACTCCGCTGGTTTGATTCCCGTCCGCCCCCGCACGGGAAACCCGGCCCCCCCGCGCTGTCCACCCCTTCGCGGGTTCGGACGTGGTCTGTCTTCTTCTTACCGAGTTTCGGAGGCAGACAAACTGCCCCCGCGAGCCAGCCAGCGCAGTTTCGGAGGCAGACAAAGGAGCCGTGCTTCGGGAAGGCGTAGCAGGGCAGCGACCGCGGCGCACGACCTAATTATACGACGCAGTCCATGTTACGCAACGACGGACGACCTGCCGGCCCACGTGAACGCGGGAGCGGATGTCGCAACTCCTGGGTCCCGACTAAGCGACGGGATTCCAGCGAGCTCCGCTTCCATTGCTTTGGGGTGTTCCCACGTGAACGCCCCCGGGCGCCCTCTCTGAGACGCGAGCCGACTCCCCGCCCGCCCGCGCTCTCGGTAATAAGACACCGCGGTTAGCGTTGACGTGCCGCTCCCACGTGAAGTGACGTCGCCCTCGCTAATGGATGCGCAGTTGGGTACCTCGCCACCCCCGATGGCGTCCAATAACTGCCGTCCGTCCGTCCGTCAAGCTATTTCTGTTCTGGTCTCGTCTCGTCTCCCTCGCCATAACGTCGTCATGGTTGTCACCTCGTCCCTGACGACGAGGAGAGTCAAATTGGGAGGGAGGGAGGGCGAGAGTAGTTCTTCTTCTGCTGGTGTCTGTTTTGGACGATCTCAGTCGCCAATCAGAGGCGGGGGTGGAATGCTGGTGCAGCACAATGAGAATCATTTGCGGATAAGTCGGATCTTCGGCCAACATGAAGCGCTCGAACAGTGCAGCGAAGGAGATCACGTAAGAAATGGATTTTACTGCAGGGCGCAGGGATACACACATTTATTCCTCGGGACGGATGGCACGAGGTGACCCGAGGAGGGGCAGACCGTGGAGTCAAAGACCTTGCTGCACACTCAACCCTATAAATGCACGCCCCCGCTTTTCCTTATCTGTTTCCCATAGATGTGGGGAGGAAGGAACTTGAATTAGGGCGAGTGAAAAGTGGGGCATCGCCCGGGGGCTTGCTTTCATCGAGGGGTAATTTGCACTTCTCAGACGTGCATGTGGGTCGAGTCATGGAACATGTGCTGCACATTTCGGTCCAAATAAATGACGGGGGTGGGGGCAGCGGAACTCTGGAGTCCGGTAACCAGACCTGAAAACGTAGGAGTCAGGCAGGAGGACGAAAGTCATTGAGCAAGGTTAATGGGGGTTGTAGGTGGATGCACAACCAGATCGTCGAGAGGCTGGCTAGTGGAATCACATGGCCACGGCATGGACCAACGTGACAGAGATGTCATGACCGAACAGTGGATGCCTACGCACTCCGATCCGCTTTATCAACAAGCGAGTCATATTTTATCGCGAGATATTCCAACGTTGTTTGCACGATGCAGACAGCGGGAAAATGACATGTCCTCCTCTTATCTCCAAATCCGCCCCCTTATTTTATTGAAGAGAAACCCAGATTAAACCGCCAGCACCCCCCGTCGGTTTGGTTTGCACGACCGATGCACAAAAGTTCAGCTCTTTCGGTTCCTCGACACGGCCAGCAACACGTCCAGACCACCTGCTTGCCTGCGAGGCTGCTGCTGCCGCTGCCTGCAGTCGGCAGGGCTCCCCAACTGTAATTGCTGGCAAGGCGTACGACCGCGGCAATCTGCACTTGCCTTATCTCGTGATCTCAACAAGCCAAGCCCCTCGCCTCGCCTCGTTCTGGATAAACCAGCACCCGCAATCCGGGAAGAATCAGGAAAATCAAATCTTCGAAGCCGGCCTATCGGTCCCCGGCCGCGAGTCTCCGGCCCTAAGCGCGGTTTGGTTTGGACACTTGACAGAGAGACGAGGCGGCCTATCTTGAGAGGGGAGGGGAGGCGAGGGGAGGGCCGCTTTTGGCCGAGACCGACTCTGACGACCGCGTAGCGGGACGGGGCCCGAGGGTCGGCAGGAATTGTCCATTGGTTCCTACATTGTGGGATGTAGACCTGCCTGAGCCGCGATGGAGATCGAGGGCGGGCTCGAGCCCAACCGCAAGTGCGCGAGGGGCGCTTTCTGACATGGAGTGTCCCTACCGTTACATGTTGTGTAAGCGCAGGAATTCCTTCATATAGCTCTTTAAAGGCTCTTACAATTAGCCCAGATTAGCATCATCTGCCACATGACAGTGACGAGTGACGGCACCTTTATTGGGAAGTTTGGCGCAGAACGTAACGTAAGTTGAGGTGAACCGTGAAGCCCGATCCACGACTCGCCGACGACAAAAGGGCAGGACAGTAACCCGGCTTTTCCCTGAAAGGATCGAGGGCAAAGCGACACGGCAGATCCATTCTGCATGTCTGAATGCGTCGACTGCCTTTGCAAGAAGCTGCTCGAGCTGTGCAGTACTTACTTCCTTCCTGGATTCCTGCGCACATACATACATACCTTCTCTCGCAGCCTTCACCCGTTCCTGCGTACCAGCCTGCGAAGGTCGTTCCTTCGTTCGTTATCTTCTTCGGAAAGGTTGTAGCGAAAAGCGGTGCATGAATGGGCGGGGACGGATGAATGCACGAAGGACGGAAGGACCCGATGACTGTTCTGCTGGGTTGCAGCAAACCGACCACATGAATGAATGAGAGGAGTTAGATCCATAAGATCCCCGTTCTGACTCAAACGTCGAGAAAAAGCATAGAAAATTAGCCAAAAGGTGAAGTGCCAGTTGCTGCTCCTGTACTTTGAAGAGGTTAGCGATCAGCAGGCCTGTGGCATATGGGACTGTTTTCTTGGAAGATGGTCAAAGGCAGTGCAGAGAAATCAAAGCATGTGTGTCTGTGACTGGTGCGAACACCCTTACGAGCCAGCCAGCCTGTGGTAGCATGTACGTACAGCCATTACAGCTACACCCCATCAGTCCGTTCGACCATCTAATTCCCCCTGAACTGGTATGCGTTTCGAATCAATCAACTCTTCTTTATGCAAATCCGGACTACGCACTCGCACTGTTGGACCTGTGGCTGATGAATGGTGTGGCTGATGAATGGTACCAAGATAGCGTAATCCATATGCCTATAAAGAACAATATACTTTGGATTTATAAATTAGCTGCATTCGATATAATCATTGTCGAAATACAGACCTGATTTGCATGTTTTACATGTGTAAATGTAGCCCTTTGGGAAGGCCCCAGTTATACGTAGAAGGAATGATTATGCTTTGGTTCGACGAGATGTGCTCAACAGGTTTTTGATGGTGAGGGTGAGTTGTCAGATCTACCGACTCGTTTGGCCAAATGTATACGAGCCGTACTTGACCTTCATCATACTCCCGTGTGTTTAAATCTTCATCCTTTTGAATGGGCATGATCTGGATGTCCAACTTCTCCTGCACCTAGACGGTGAATGAATTTGCGCTGACCCAAAAGCATCTTTACGTGACAATTACTGAAAACTGGTAAGAAAGTGTACGAAACATGTCACTTCGAGAACTCCCGAGCAAAAATATGGAACACTTTTCTGGCTGGTATTTAATGAGGCGTCTTTCGAACCAAGTGCATCTTTTTCGCAAGTCATCGTTGGGAGTGGTGGTTTGACATTGTCATGGCAGTTATATCACCGTTATATCCGTCATGCATCTTCTGAAAGATCGTCTGCGCCAGGTCAGAGGGCATCTTCGTTGGGGGCGAAACCCAATTTGCTACAATTTGTTTCCGATTCACAGCATCTTCCTCGTTATAAAATATCTGTAGGTCAGCATATTTCCTCGGGACAAAGAGCGAGAGAAGTCTCGTAAAAATTATGAAGACCTGGGCCCCAACTGACCAAATATCGTCCACAAGATCAAACCGATGAAGTTCCCGGTAACATCTGAACAAACACACAAGGAAGTATCTGGATTCTCGAGATACTCCCACCCTTCAGGGAGGAGAAGGTCAGTCCTTAAAAAGAGTAGTCTACGGGAAACTTTTGCACTTGATGGCTGCTACAAAAAGATGTAGTAGTACCGGTACAGTAGTTGAAGTGGCAGATTGCGTTATTCCCAACGTACTGTGTCTATGGTAAAAAGAAGTCCCTAGCAAAAAGTACAAACTGTTGATTCCGGAAAACAGCGGACATTTTGTGCTGGACGGGGAGCCCGGAGTTGTCCTTGAATGCCAACTTAGAAAGTCAAAGGTGGGACGTGACTGTCCTGCATGAGTTGCGAAAGAGTGGCAAATATCTTGAGATGAGGAGGCGGGAGGGGAAGAATGAGAATGTGCTGTGGCTGTTCCTTTGGAGGCAATCTTGGACGTCGCTAGTAAGGGGCCAGATTGTAGGTGCGATCGGACGCGATGAGATGAGATTGCATTCGCTTCTGCAGTCTTGGGGATGAGGTTTGGCTCAAGCGCAATCACAGCTAAATGATTAGCTCTATCGGGAGATCTAACGAAGCAGTAATGAAGGGATGAGATTTCGTGAGATTTCGGGGAAATATGTGGCGTTGAATTTCGGTATATTTCGTCTATCACTCCATCCTTACTCGAGGAAACAGGTCCGCAACTAATGATTACGTTCCAGCTAGGTTTCCGCATCTCATTCTCAGGAACTACCATTTGTTGATAAGTCTTTTGTGGCTAGAACACAGCTAGCGAGCTCATTGGAGGGAGCGCTAAATTCTCTCTCTATTCCTCCAGCTTACACATCTCCTTTAATAAGAGTTAGGGGAGATGCGTATGGACTTGCCTGTTTGCAAATGCCGAAAGCAGCCAGCATGAGAACCAAAGTTGTTCTTTTTTCTTGGTGAACAACAATGGAGTCTGGATTGCCACGGGGTTTTTTATGCATATAAAACTCTTAGTTTAGCGCGTTATGTTGTTAGGGCGACTGACATGGCCGGCCTTTTTAGGACCTGTAAAGAGCGTCGTATAATCAGGAAGAAGGAAAAAGGGAAGAACAGCAATAAAAGAATGCAACACACCTGGCATCTTCTTCAATGTTTCATTCATACGTATAAGCTTGGGTCCTTTATCTCGAGTAGTAATTGTTGTTGTAGGATGAGCGAGTAGCAGCGTACACGGAGTGTGTTCATGTGGTTGCGGTGCTGCTGCTTTGCTTGAAGAATGATTATACTTTCTTTCTTGCTTTCCTCCTTTCTGGACTATCGATGATGGTTCATCATGTCGTTGGCAAAAGTCGGTTCCATGGACGTGACTCTGAACCGTGCTGGCCGTCTGAGCTGTAATTTGGGCCTGCGTATTGGTACAACACGATCAGAGCGAGCAATCAATCGCACACTCAATCAGGAGCCTTCGAAAAAAAAGGTAAGACATGCATGATGAAACATCGGGGAGAGTGACTCAGAGACTAGCTGAAATGGTGGTGTGGTGCACAGGCAGATGATTCAGACTTTCTTTCCGAAGAAATGCTGCCGCCCTTGCATGTTGGTTGAAAGAATTGAAATGGACCACGTGTGCCCAAATCAAGAGGCATGGAATTGTCTAAGGCAAGAATTGAAGAGGAGCTCCGGAGGATTTTCTCGTGCTTCTCACCCATCATACGATATCCATCTATCTTTCTATCTAAAATGTATGTCTTCGATTGATCTCTGATATCCGTGGCCCACCAATCACAAAAGGCAGGCGTCCCCGGCGAACGAAAGGTCCACCGGACGGGCCATGGCCTACCCCGCGTCGAGCAATTCCCGTCGCTCCTCCGCGCGACGGACGGACTGGCCGCGACTCCGCTCGCTCGCTCGCTCAGCTCGCAGCGCCGCTCTGCAGAATGGAATGTCCCACGTGGGAATGCTCAAGCTCTCACGCTCAGTCGACGCTCAATGTACACGCGTCCGCCTCCGCCCTCCACGTGTCGCTCGTCGTCTTCCACCTTCTCCTCGGTGGCACGTGGAAGCTCCCGCCATACACGTTAGCGCTTAACGCCGGTCTTGGACATGTTCATGCCGTGTGCCGCTCACCACCTCCCGAACCACCACCCCCGGACGGGACTTCTCGCTGTGCCGGACATGCTCAACCACCGTGGTCGCGCGCGCCGCAACTGCGTTACCGCATCCCTCCCCCCCTCCCCCCCCCAACTTTGGCGGCTAGGCGGCGTCGCATCCCTTTCATATAATCGGCGAAATTCCCGCACTTGCTGACGCGTCGCTGACGAGCCCTAATTCGTCTCTTTTGCCCTCAGCCCGGGCCGGGCGCGGCAGCCCCCGTATTCCGCCGCGACCCGCCATATTTTTCCCCCGCCCGCGCACGCCACTATATAACCGGGCTTCTGCACATTCCACGTACTCGTCCGTTCTACGCATTCGCGCTGTACACCGCCGCGCCTACTCGCACCCCTCGCCGCCCTCCCCTAGCGCACGGTAGAAACTCTTTTCACCCTCCGACGGCCGTCCCGTCATTCATTCACTCCTTCCCCCCTTCCGGAAGTAGAAAGGATATGCCCCCAGGTTCCCCTCAGCATACATGCCCCTGATCGCTTGCTGTTCCAGCATCTTCAGGTCCACCTTTAGCTCCTCCTCTCTGCATCTCTCCGGCCCTGGTCCCGACTTGTTTTTCTCCCGCGCTCGATCGCCTCCTCATTCATTCATTCGGTCAGTTCTCCTCGAGTCGGAGCAGTCTTCCGAGCGAGCGCTGAACCGAGAAGTCACTCTCACCCCTGCCCAGCAGCAGCAGCAGCAGCAGCCAGCGTTAGTCTCGAGGGAGAGACGAGACGGAAAGCAAAGCCGAGAGCGCTCTTTCGCGCGCAGTCGTTGCGCGGCTCGCAAAGCCCTCGCTGGTACGACGGACGTTCCGCAGCCAGGGGAGGTCTTTCAGACGGAATCTTCTTTGCAATTCGACAGTAGCTCTGCCCGCGCCGCTGTGCTCGGCCTGTCTTGGCAATCCATCGGATGTATCACCCGAGATGAGGAGGAACTGATGAAGTCCCGTTCTGTAAAGGAGAGGCCGAGTCTTTCGTCGGAAGAGTAGAGGTTCAAGGAGTGTTGGATTTCTGTTTTTCGTCCGGGTTATAAAGGTAGAGGTCGGCGGTGGGAGAACAGGTTCATCTTTCAGTTTGGAAGATGGTGGTGCGAATGCGTGTTTCTTCCATTCTGTAATCAGCAGCCGGCCAGAACGGGTCGTACTCGAGGGTAGTAATCGGGGAGCAAAACGCGCCATTTGAGGTCGTGCAGAGAGCACTTGCCTCAGCGGGTTTTCCCATCTTTTCTCATCGATAGAGCTTGAATTTTTTGGCTCCTGTGAGTTAACGAAAATGCGGGCTCCTGCGCCTGCCACCCATGATGCTCCCAAGCAGAAACCCGATGTTTCGTGCTCGTATATTCTGATGGTGAGTGCACTGTTTTCAAATGTGGCTCTTTGTGTTTGACGTTCTCCCCTTTAGGGTTGAATAAGGTCTGTGTGCCCAGCAGTCAGCACAAGAAGTCTCGTGACTACTTCAGGTCTAGTGAAAACACGAGGAATGCTTTTCGCGGCTCCAATGTGTATAAAAACGGCGGGGAGGTTGAAGAATTTCGTGCTTTGTTTCTAGAGATCATGCTACAGGTCTGTGATGGTTCTTTAAACTTCGTTTTCAGCGAATTGATCATCTGTCTTGGGTTTAACAGGTGCAGCATCTCATAGAACGTTGCCTTCTTCTGTACATGGATCGAGAAGATTGTGTGAGGGCTCTCGCGAAGTACGCGAGGGTGAAGCCCGTGATTACGAATACTGGTGAGTTTACGTCCTGTACCACTGGATTCGACGGTGGTGTCTTTTACCCTGTCGTCCTGGATGTTGCTCAGTGTGGTCAGACGCGTCGTCTCTGCCGAATTTGAAAGACCTCGAGAATTACTCAAGTTGGCGGGATTTGTAATGTAGTCAGCAATGGGTTTGTGAGTCCTGGAATTTCACATCTTTTGAAGCGCGCAAGGGTGGTGGAAATATATCTCGACTTGGGACGTGTGAAGATTTGGAACTGAAACTGAAGCTTGTGCTCTGACGTTGCAGTGTGGAAAGAACTAGAGAAGGAAAACAAGGAGTTTTTCTCTGCGTACTCCAAGCACCGAGCGTCCAGACATGTGCGTGTTTTTAGTCAGGTTCTAGAGGAGGCCACAACTAAGCTTTGTGCCCAAAAGTTGGAGTGCCCTGAAATTCTGAGAGGATCTAGCGAAGCGCCGCTTCAACCATGTAAGTGCAGTTCGTGGACGGTGCCTAGGACATACAAGTTCGATGCCGTTAGCTTCCAAGTTGGACTGACCATCGCGAAGTGAAGTTCTGACGTTTTGGATGTACGTGCAGGCCCCGCTCCAGTGAGCTCGTGATGTGGGAATGGTGAATTGAGGGTATTACGACACATGGCTGTACGTTATGCTGAGGACGAGACGAAAAGCCTTCGGAGGAGTAGCGAGCAAAGAACAGCAGCCGCTCTTCCCACTGTAACATTTTGTATATGATGATCCTATTGTTTGAGAGCGTTCGGACGTGTCGTAACCATTTTACGATCGTATACAAGCGTAGTCCACGCCGAGGCTAGAGAACGCTTCCTCTTTAAGTACAGAATTTAGTAACTACAGTTTAACTGGGAGTTTGAGAGTTGTCGTCTAGTGTCACATATCGAGTTTGGCCTGGCAGTGTTGTCTTTTTTGTGGGGGACTTGCCGGCAACCCCTTGTACAATTTGTATACAGAAAGACATCACAATTTTTTGCCCCGGGTGTCAACTTGCGGGCCTGCGATCATGTAGGAACAGAAGCGGAGACAGTAGGAAATGTGGAATATAGCATTATAATGAAAGATTCCATCATTTGTTGACAGAATACTGTCCAAGTGGAAAAGTCCTTTACATTTTGTGTTGAAGCGTATGTATTGTCCTTTGCATCCGGAATCGGGCGGACAGTCTGCATGTTGGTGGTATTAACAGTTGGGGGAACGTGAAGGAAAGTGTAAAGACTTTAGCAGTTGAGAAAGTGAGAAACAGTGGACATGAAGGAAGCCAACGTGGAAAAGGAACGAAAAAAAATAATTGAAAATAATTGAGTACCGTGTAAGTCAAAATAGAATTTATGTATGAGGGAGATAAATAGAAAAAATAAATAAATTGTATGTACAGGGTAGAGGCGGAGAATAAATACGACGTTTTCTAGCAATGAATATGTTAAATGTTGCATACTATAATGTAAGCTGTGAACAGGTATGTCTGCGACAGACGATGCACGTGGGAGAAATCAAAGAGTGAAAGACTTGAAGCATCGCTCACTCATGAGGATACGAAATGCTACGCCAGGTGAAGAAAACGTCTGAGTGTATACAATGGCAGTACGACGTGATCGAAGAAGGATGTGAATAGTCTGAAGATTCCGAGCCTTCGGAGTTCTGTCTGAATCTGGACGTCCTCGTTGTGCAGACGACAGGAGAGGGAGGGAGAAAGATGGGCCTTAAACCTCACGCATGAGTTAGCTTATCTCGAGACAGTAGACCTTAGAGATAGCAACGTGGGGATATGATGGAGTAGCCATATGCCGTAGCCCGAATCGAGTCAGGGTTGATGAATCCTCACGATGAAGAGAATGAGAATCTGCGAGCAAGCTAACGAGTCTGAGCCCAGAACCACAGCCAAAACTCACAAGGCTTTATTGAATCACACTCATACCCATTCACTCATTCATTCATTCATCCGCTCGCCTTGTCGTCAGCAGACCCGCCGATCGATCGAGCCAGACAAAATGTCCGCGGGCTGGCGGGCGGGCCGGCCGAAGGGTCAGGACTAGGGACCCTTTTCTACGTCGGAGGCGAGCCAACGTAGAGAAGGGTCCGTCCGTCCATCCATTCCATGGGAAGGAAGGAAGGCGGGCAGACCGACCGACCGACCGACAGACCGGCGTTTGTTCTACGGCCATAAACAGAGGCCCGCGAATCCGTCGGAGTGCCGTTGGACTCGTCTCGTTCATCGGCTCGGCAACAGATTCCCGGGACCCCGGACCACGGACGGACCATAGGCCCCGACCGACCGACAAGAAAAGCGCCTGGCAGAGTACCGAAAGAATTGCGATATGATGTGATTGATACTCGAGGGGTGGACGCCAGATGCATAACGTATACGGACGGACGGACGCGACGGGATGCGACGGGAGGAGCAACGGGAGGAGAGGGGAGTGCTTCAAAGGTCGACACAGACCAAAGGCGCAGAACAAGCCACGAGCTTCGTGGCAAATATGGAAATTGAGATTGTGGATGTTTCATTCATTCGTTCATGCATCTTGATGCTGCTGCTTCTCAATTGTGGGAGGTGGAGTTGCAGGTGCGTGAACAGAGAGCGCGAATCTCGAGGTCCGTCGCGGTGAGCGAGTCGGGCCAGTCGCGGAAGAGGTTTGTCTTGGAGCAGAGCAGGCGCAGAGAGCCGTGGACCGACGACTTGACGATGGCGCAGCGCTGGTCGATGCTGCTGCGACAATGCCACAGATAGGACGGCACGCAGCTCATGTAGTGGCACCATTTGCAGGTGCGTCGGCTGTCGAGGCCCAGGCCTTTGAACAGCGCCAGCATGGCCGCCGTGTAGCCCAGCACCAGAAAGCCCAGCGCCAAACTCCAGATGATGATCTGCATTCGCGTGTGCTTCGTGTTGTTGGCGCTCGCGTTGATGATCCTGGCGGATGAGGCCGGCGGAGGCATCCCGGCCGCTGCGCTGCTCGCTCCTCCTCCTCCTCCCGCCTCCGCTCTCAGCGTGTCGTCGTCATGGATCATGGGGAAGCAGCACCTCTGCTTGATCCATGCAAACCTCGGCCGCATGAGGAAGATGAACCCCAGCAGCGCTCCGGCCATGAAGCCCCCGATGTGCGCGAAGTTGTCCACATGCGGCATGAGCCCGAAGGTGAAGGTCAGAGTCGTCGCCAGGACCAGAGCCGCCAGCGATCGGCTCCGGTGGTTGTACGTGGACCAGTTTATGAGAATCTCGGCCACAGTCGCGCCCAAGAGGCCCATCAGCGCCCCCGAGGCCCCGACGGAGATCTGATTGTGCATGAACAGCGCCGACAGTAGGCTTCCTCCGAAGCCCGCCAGGATGTAGATGATGCCCACGCGGATTCCTCCGAAGTCCCGTTCGAGTCGAATTCCCAGCGACAGAAGGCCCGTCATGTTGGCGAAGAGGTGGAAGAGGCCCGCATGCAGCCACACGCACGAGAGCAAGCGCCATCCCTGGCCTCCTTTGGTTACGAGGTTCGATTCGAGCGCCCCCATGAGCAAGAGCGATCTGTAGGACGGGCCCAGCAGTGGGTTCTCGCTCAAAGGTTGGAATGAGAGCCGGTTCAGAAACTGCAGCACGCACTTGTCTGGCCTTGCGGAGGTGCCCGGGCAGTTGTTCTCGTACATGGTGATGCTGAACATGGTAATGTGGACCAGCACGAAGGTCGGGACTATCCACGGAAGTCTGGGCCGATCCACTCTTCCGAAATACGACACCCCGCGGTGGTGTAGATCTCCAGGGAATTCCAATGTCGCCGGTGCATAATTGAAGTGCGCTGGCTGCTGGTGCTGCTTGTACGGGGATGCTTTTCTCGGGGTGATTACTCTGGGAGGGCTGCCGCCGCAGCCATAGAACTGTGTTGCAGGATGGGGATTCATGACAGGAATTCCCGGGCTCACAAAATTCAGGCCGAACACATGACCGAATGTGGTACCCGTGGCATTGATCGAGCTTGGATCCATTTTCTCTATCTGCTGCCGCTGCTGCTCATCCTCAGGTTCATGAACCACCACAGCAGGCAATGGAGGTGTTGACGTCCTCATCGTCGGGGTTTTGGGAGGTGGTGGCGGTGTTAGGGGTGGCGGTGGCGGTGATAATGCCATTTCGATCTCGACTTGGTCTTGAGGATTGAACAAAAAGTTGAAGTGTATCCGCATATATCTAGCCCAAGAAGAAGAGACTCAAATGAACGTGTCAACCATTCATATCTGTGCACCACTTATAAAACGATAGCCATTGGAGACAGCCACTTGTCGAATGAAATCCAGACAGGAGCAGAAAGAGTCTCCCATCGTCCCTCCTCCTGCGCCTTCTTGAGGATATCATGTCTCTCTCGCTACTCATTGTTACGATGAGGCATGCTCTACTTTCGGTTTCCAGGGAAAGGACCAGCCGTATCAGAAGCACCAGCCATAGCAGTTACAACTATACAGTGCCCCACTACACCGGCCTGTACCAACAATGCCTTTCCCTTCGTACGTGCGTGCCCAACAACACGCGACAGTCTTGAACCAAGACTCCTCTTCTTTTCATCGTTGGTCCCAGTCCAACCGACTTTTTCTCGTTGGGAACTCGACAAATTCAAACCGGTTTTTTCCAAACGCTCAGGGAGGTTTTACACCGTCGTTCATCTTCCTCAGCCTCCCTCCCTGCCGCACCCTCTTGAACAATGCAGGCATACATAGCTTTTGCCTCTTACAGCATGCACGGGGTGTATCGTCTCATGGATCGAACCTCCCAATTGCGAGATTTATTTATTCAATCTCCCATTTTGTTACAGAATTAACGCTTGAGACACCCGTCCATTCATAGCGCAGCCATAGAGACTGCGGGGACAGGTGGTACGACATAACTCCAGGCGATGAATGGGATGAAATCTACCGAAAGTCTCTGTTCCTACTTATATTTATTTTTGCTTCACTCACTCGGTCACAGACGAAAACCAACTTCGTTCTGTTTCTGAACCTATATCCTGCGGGGACCTGCGTTAAGCGGAATATAGGCCCGGTGGACTGCATTCAACCTCCTGATTAAACTTGACCGGAATTGCACATTCTTGCTCCTGGATCCAGGGAAAAGATGATGAAGCGATCGATCCGTACGCTTACGCCTTCTTAGTAAATGTGGATTATGTGCCAAGGGGAACCGACTGGCTCACGATTTATGAGAAGAGGATTTCAAATTCGTTCAGCCGTAGGTTTTGCTTGTCTGTACGTATGCAACCAGCGACATCCGCTACTCCATTCTTCCCGCCCCTAGCCGGCCTGCGTCAACAGTGAAAGTTGTCGTATTGCATTGTAGTTTACTGTCAATCAAAATCAACGAGAAATCACGCACACACGTGCCTTTTGGACACTTCAAACCTTACAGGCTGCATTGCATAGCTCCTCGTCACTCCCTCGGTTAGGAAGTACGACAGGGAAGCACCAGCTGGGGTCAGACAGGGAGCGAGATTTCAGGTGTAGCATTCGATCACAATCAGAGTACCGCGAGGTCAAAGCGTACCTTGTTGAGGAATCCGAATCTGGTGAATCGGAGGTATTAGCGGGTGCATATCGGCTGCGTAGAAGCTTCAAAATGTTCGCTTCTACAGAATTCTCCACGTAGAGCCTGTACCAATGTAAAGAAACGTAATGCGCATCTTAACGTCGACGATGAGGAGAGTTTGTATTGAAGTAGGATTCTTTTCAAAGGAATTCTACCTGCACCGTCTAACGAACGTTTGAAGAAGTTCATAGGACATGCCACACCAATCTTTCCTAAACCTCGAACCCTTCCTATCCTCTCCTCTAGTTCACTAGTAATTGACAAACTGTTTCAATAACAATTTGCGATTATTCTTCCAGCTGGCCAACACTTTCTCGAGTTTCGCAGAAGATGGAGTGATTGATGCTGAAGTACCTTTTGATGACAACGGGACGCTCCTGGCCCATCCTCCAGCAACGGCCTACTGCTTGCTCCTCAAGCTGTGCGTTGTATAGAACGAGTTAGAGGAGGAGTTCATTTTTAAGCTTGCCAGAAAAGCTCACGAAACGCTGTTGATAGAAGGGACCTCACGGGGACACAAGCAGGCGCGGAGTCAGGAATTTTCTGGTGGGGGGGGGCTGGGGGCTCCCCGCCAGGTATTTCCTTAGCGCCGCAGGCGCTAAGGAAATACCTGGCGCAATGTTCTCAATCGCGTTTTCAACAATCTGTACCTCACAATCTGTAGACACTTCCTGGGCTTAGGGGGGGGGGGGGGGGGGGGGGGGGGAGGGGGCACGCCCCCCCCCTGCCCATCCTATAGCTCCGCCCCTGGACACAAGTAGATCTAACCTCTACAACGGGATCGAGAATTCTATCAGATCGAATAGCAAAGGCTAGCGGGAGATTCTCTCAGTCAAAAACTTATGCAGCTGAAAGTGTTGGGCATTTGCGGACTTACAGCAGGGTTGAGACACGGTTCCAGCTGATGATGGCAACGGGAGACATTCAGAACAGCACGAATGTTAGACGACATGCTCAAGAAGATAGAGCAAGTATTATGCATGTTTCAGAACTTAAACGAGAAATGTACGTGGTACAGCTTTGCCGGCACAACGATATGACCTTTCCAGCAAACAATGTTCACACCTCCATGTGCTGATCAATTACTTCGTGCCTTAGGATTGGGTTCCTACGGCCATTTTTATGCTTTTTCTTCTTTACCGTTTTCTTAGAAGAAAAGGGAAGACAAGAGGTTTATTGTCTTACCATATAAACGTGAGATGCAGCTGTCAAAGTGATGCCAACGGCTCCCGTGCGTATTGACAGTAAAAAAACAGTTGTTGGTGGATCCTGTAAAATAATGCTCGCTCAGGATGTTGCTTCAGCATCTTAAGAATGAGTTTAGTTAAGTGAATACTGAGGTGCTCAAGGAGTTTCCTACTGGACAATACTGCCAGATCCTGGATTAAATTCGAGCAAGGAAATGTTGATAAAGTTCCTGACTTGGATTGGTATTGACAAGCGTGAGATGGGTATGACCTTTTGAAAAGCTTCAATGGCCTGAGCTCTTTTCTTCATCGGCATATCTCCACTTATAAATCGGTAGGTGATATTCTGCTTCTTGAATTCCACTTTAAGCCATGCTATGGTTTGCATGAACTGACTAAATATGAGTACCTGCCACATTTCTCACATTGCTCAGGTCGTTTAACACTTCTTGCACAAGGGTCAGTCCGGTACAGAGATCATCCTGTTTTTAGCACCCACGGACAGAAATTCCTTGGACTAGCGGGGCAGACAAATCCTCATGAAAGTCTCTTACGTAGTTTCAGGTGCAGTGAAAATTGTTGAGCCTGATGATACATAGAACATGTGATTCGTGAATACAATCCATCTGATGTCCAAATCATGATCTGTTAACAAACCTTAGCGCCTGGATTTTCTTCTCTGACTTTATCCAAATCCGCAAGCAAAGTCTTCAATTTGGAATTCATCTGCACCCCTTTTGCGTTTGCAGCTTCATCTTCCATGAGAGATCCAGTTGACGATGAAGCATTATCGTAAAGGGATGTCATCATGATTCCCTTCAACTTGGATTGAAAGGTAATCAGCTCGCTTGCTGTGGCAGAACTTCTACAAATAGGACACAAACCTTGTGCGCCCAGTCCAATGGTCGACATTATACACTCACTGCAGAACCTGCATACAAGTGCCAGAGAAAACCGCGGTGAATGACTAAACCTTGTTTCCTGAACTTCACATTTTGCAACGACCTCTTCTACCGAGTTCTCTGAAGCAGCCTATTCAGCATGATCGTTTCAAAAGTAATCCACAGCCGCGTTTCCATGGTGGGTGATTATTGCACTACTAGCAAGTTCTTCCAATCTGGGATAGAAATTCAGCTGAGACCCAGACGGCAGCCAACTAATCAGCTTACCAGTGGCCACAGGGGGTTTTTGTTGGACATTCCATCAAATCGAAGCAAATTCCACACTCTCCTTCTACATCGTCGACTCCATCGGCTTCAGCTGCTGGTAGTGAGATACTGTTGCTGTGGCCAACATCCGAACAGCCTCCGCTTGGACTCTGCTCTCGCTTAGTCATGTTGAGGTCGAAATTGGAAACAAATCCACCGCTGCAAAGCCTGACGAGTAAGGTTGGACCAAGGTTTAGATCTCCACCGGGTCGAGGTTTGTCAGAAAAATGCATCTGTCATCTACTCTGTTTCCAGTCTGGGAAAGCATAACAGTCGGCGCAACAGAAGTATCGACAGAATTGTACTGCAAATGAATCTGCAAGTAACCTGGAGACTTCATGAGCACCGATCGTTGACTACCTCGTCGATGCCTAAACATTACAAGAAAAGCAGAGTGCAGTTCTGACATGACAATAGGAATGAGACGAACTTCCACGACTGAGCTTAAGCGTGCATCCATCCAGTTCACTTATACACCTTGGCAAACTTCTTTCTGTCATTAGGCGAAGATTGGGTTTATGTGTGTGTTGTTGACCTAGTCCTACGATGCTAGTGTTAAGAGTTAATCTTCTTCAGTTGATTAGGAAGCCAGATTGATATCAATTCAGCCGCAAAATGGAGCATACCTCCGGAGAGGTAGTAGGAGTGACATGATTTGAAGGATATTCTTGCTCACGACAGTCGGACCCCAGCAACGGAATTGCTCAAACTTTGAGATAACTTTCTGGTAGACAGCCGCGTAGGCACTGCGTTCTTCACTGGTAAAGAACACTGGTATGTCTTGCTCAGTTTTAGGAGGAAGTCTGAGGAGCTCTCTGCCATTGAACTTTTGCTGCTTTGTGTGCCGTATCATCATCTGGTATATGGTGCCCACTTATAACTGGTCATCCACCATACCATCTGCCCAGTTCCGGTGCACAGCACGGGATCTGGTGCTGTCTGACGCTGATTAAGATATTCAAAACACTTTCTGGGTATACAGCTCCTTGTCTACCCTCCTTGAATCCAGTTTATGTCGAATTCAAGTTGTCATGCTTGAGTTTAGCAGTCAGACCAAAAGCTCATTGTGATCATTATGTTAAGAGTCGAATTAACACCGTACCAGGTTTTGAGATGTCTTACCTCAAATGCATACTACCCGGGAACTTTACAACGCGTTTCTATCAGGCTCTCTCTATGCTCCTTTGGAGTATTCTTGGTAGTCACACACTCTTACCTTGTTCAGCGTCCACAGAAGAACTGTTTGATCATCACTTTTACACTGCCGCTCATATGGTCGGCCAATCCTCCTTCGGAAAACCCCTTTATTATCCAAAGGCTCCAGCTTCAGAAATAGAAACTGCGTGACAGGATATCACCTCCGATCAGTCTTCAACTTCAAATCCCAGTAGTATAAAACTCCAGGTGTGCATTTGAACTGTGAATCAATCGTTCTACAATAATCTTTTGGTTGATACTTGTCCTCTAAACTATTATAGACAGAGACCAACATTCGTATGATTTATTACGTATGGACAATTTATGAATCTTCATGAACTTCTGGATCAGTCTACTCTCTTAGCAATTGACGAATGGGAACTCATACCTGACCGTAAAGATCATATATGCTTGTGTTAATCGGTGTTCCTGTGCAGCACCATCTTCTTTCAGCTTTTAGCTTAGCACAAGCACGGGAATGCAGAGGTGCAGGATCTTTGACCTGTTTTATTTAGAGAAGTCTGTCCTGTATCAGTTCGAGAGGCTAGCGCTGGTCTTCAGATTATTTCTACTACTGATTAGGAATATCAGCCCTAAGAATGTCAATCAAATACAATATGGTCAAAGTACGTGCAACAATCTGCATCCAAAGACAGGCTACTACTCTCACAACATTACCAACTCAATAATGTCCTCTCGATATAAGAACTGCCGAATTGATTTTTTGACGAAATGCACCTCCTCGTCTTCTTGTGTGATCATACCGTTGCAACGAAATGTGCAACATCAAAGAACAGATTTACGGAGCTGCTTTTCAAGAGGCAGCTCCGGAAACAACACCATCTAGAGAGACTATTCGCTGATATTGAGCTATACGGAATTTCCTTACGGTGTGTGACTCGTCTAGCACCACTCTCCACCAGTTGACCGTGAGCAGAGGACAAAATTGCTCTGCAAATCCGGACCCATGTCTAGTTGCCTGAGTAGCTTTGCTGAAATCGCTTCCGAGAGTGGCGTAGGTTGTGATGACCTACAAATATGGAAATTCAAGAGAAAAAATAATCTTAGGATTAAACCATTCAAACGTTAAAAAGTAAATAGACTGGTATGAAGCTGCAAGTCCCATATCTTTCGGTAACTTACAATGTCATACTTTGCCAGCTTCTTTGGATCTCGAATTCTGCAGCACACAAACGAGAAGAAGGAAATATGGTCACATCTTCTTTTAATCTTGATTTGAAATAACTGCAGATATCTCTGTTCGTGAGCACAACAATTTCGTGACATGTTCGGTCTGTACGACTGAATAAACAGAATGCTCCGGTTGGGGTTTGGAGATGCTTTAGACTTAATAAAAGCTTCGACATTACAGAGGGTATAACTAGCCAGAAAGCTTGAGTGATCCAAAGGTTACCTTTTGGAGCCATGGTACATGTAGATACTCAAATTTGCTGCCAACTTGCTCTTCACTTCATTCGCCCACTGGCCAACGATCGAAACTGGGCAAACAACTGGTAACCAGATTCCAGAGCATGAGATTCAGCACCTACCAGTGGTCCCTTCGAGTCCACTTGGAGAAGAGCTACTATGCAGTCTTCATTTATTAAAATAAAGGAGTGGAGTGGAGATATGCCTTCGAACACAAATAAGTTAGTTGGGCATGCACGGAAGTTTCACTACTTTCCCATCCGAATCAAGGTGTTCTTCTCTACAAGCCGTGTTGTCTTGAACGTTTACCCAGGGTGCCTTTAGAAGAACCAGGAGGGCATTTTTCCACCGTGCAGGGATTTGCGAGTATGAGTGCCAGAATCTGCACCCATGACAGAACCTCGTGATCTTAGTCTCGATCGTTTTACGGGATAGCTTTTAGCTTCAACGAGTCTCGATGTGAGGGAAAACACTCACCTCGATGGTTTTACCAAGTCCCATCTCTTCACAAAGAAACCCTCCTCGTACAGTGCCGCTCTCTTTGGTCTCCATCAAATGTCCAAGTGTGGACGAATACATCAAAGAATGACCTGAAGGTGTCGATGGGAGCTTGTGATAATTCAGACTCAACAGCCCGCCTTCTCTGTGTTCGGCATCGAGCATGAATTGCAGAGACTGCCTTTGATAAGGTCGCAGAGGAACTGACAGCCCAGAGGGTTGAGGCGCTTCGCCGTATCCATTACTTTCCAAGTCTCTTAACAAACCAGCAACTGAGGTCCAATCGTCGCAACTTTCAGCCCACTTCCTCATCTCGTCCACTTGTAGTAAGTAGCTTTGGAGGCCACTGTCCTCGGGGAAAACCTCCTTCAAAAGCTCTTTCAGGAAAAACAGCTCATCGCCTCTTGCCTTTTTCAGAAATACTCGAATATGCGCAATCCCCAGGTTCCTGTCTTCAGCTTCGGGAGATATGTTCACTATAACTTGGAGTTGACCTTGTGCTTCGTTAGCTCTGTTCCAGGATAACGACATGTATCGGTTTGATGTGGATGAGTATCAGTTTCCCACCTGGACTAATCCTATGACTTATTTCATCAACGATGGATAAAGAGCATGCAAACTAAGAACGAATTCAAGGCAGTGAAGTGATACTGAGGTGCAACTTTACATTAACTCCGCAAGTAGAGCTTGGTGCTGAAATGATGCCCTTCCATCTCCAACAAGCTCTACGTGCTCCAGCTGAGACGCTTTCCCTTCACCCACTGCAGTGAGAGCTATTCTTTAGTGGTCAGCAGTCTCTGCTGCAGAAGCACTACTCAATTCTCTAGAATAGTGAGATGCACTCCCCGGTTGCAACGAACAGCCCGTGTCAAGGCACACTAAATCATATAGCAATGTCCACTGTGCACGACCTTCACTTGCTTCTGAAAGCTACAGCTTTGTATTATATTAAGTGAATTAAGACGTTGCTACTCATTCCTTAACTGCTGTCCTATTTCATGAACCCTTCGTTCCGTTATGTTCGAATGATTGCTTTTAAGTTAACTGTTGGAGCGATCAATATCTTCCTTACAAATGTGAGAAAAGATATCAAGAGAAAATCTGTCCAGATTTTCTATCAGGTCCTCCAGCGTTCTCTCGGGCTGCCGCATTCGTACGGGTACACGTACAGTACCGAACTCAAACCACCTGCCACAAATTGCATCACCATACGGGCCCGTCAAGAAACTTCTTAGCTGGGATGTCAGATCCAAGTTGTATGTTCTCAGATCGTCTTTGCAGTCACTTCAGCTAAGACCTCTGTCTGATCAAAAAGTGCCATGTCCCATCAGTATTTTTTGACCGAAAACGTGGTTTGTATCGAAATTTGTCCTCCTAACAATGGTCGCCATCCGTGTGCATCGGATATCATGCCGAAGCCAACGTGGTTAGTTTGATGGAACTAAAAATTATCACTACATTCGAGGCCATTCCTCTAAAGTTAGGACAAGACTCCAACTCATGCAAAAATGCGCTGGTCACAAAAATACGGAATGTTCAGCGACCTACAATGGACAAATGTAAGGTCTGTATGATGTCACGAAGAGTAGATTAGACTAGTCTATGATTAAAAACTGATTGTAGCCAGTCTCTGAACTGACTAAAGGAAAAGACTCACATGGTGGCTACGGACAGTCTGAGAGGACATTCTCATATGGACATATCAGTCCAATTCCCAGAACTATGTGTGACAGCCATAGCAGCACACAAGCTAGAGAAGATGTCCGAAAGAAAATTGGAACTTTTGAATTCGTTAAAAAAATGGGTGGATGTTAGCGGAAAGTCAGACATTCTTAAACCTTCATAAAGTGTGAGAGAAAGCAGATTTACAGCAGATCACACAGTTCTTAGACATTTGACTTGAATGCCTACCATCTACAAACTCGCCCATATCTAGAAGGCAACCTCAATGCCTCCCTCCATCTCACAATCAAGTACTCTCGACCACTCTTGTGATAGCGGGGCTCTCTGCGATAGCTTAGGCGAACACTTTACAGCGATTCCTCACCTAACCCTCTGGAATGACGAACCACGGGTCGAGGGACAACTTGATTCTGTCCTAAGTAGCTGACAACGGCGAAGACTGGGCTGCACTGACATGCCCGAGTCAGAATTCAATCTTTGGTTTGGTCCATCATGTCACCGGATGTGCTTTGCAAGCTCAGAGCGGAATGAACAAGTCAACAGAACCTTCAGCATATATTATGCTGAGACAAGATCTGAGAGACTAAGCGTCGCTAAATTCTGCCGGATCTCTTATTCGAACTTTGGTTGAACGTGAGTTGACAGTGAAGCGATGTGCTCTTAGGACCGATGCATAAGCCCGGCTGACACTTATTCGTGTTTTTATGCTCGAAGGCACTAGCATAGCCCAGACGAGGCGCGGTGTGGACAGACAGGCCTTCATGCCGGGACAGACATGCATGTGTATTATGAAATCTGTCCCAGGAGGTTTCAGTTCTATCCCGCCCTAGAATTGCCACAGCGTGTTATCACCGGACAGTTGACAGACAGATTAAGGCAAGGGCCGCTCGTTCAGCCACAATGGGTCTTACCGACCATTCCCCTAGATCCTGTGGTTTCAGAAAGCTTCCCGCTACTTCTCGTCTGAGGACTGGAACGAGTGACCTCAGACCATAATTCGACACTTGCATGAATCCGCCGGAAATGAGAGCATTAGCGCAAGGGAAACAGAATCGAGGTCACTCGAAGGACAAGTAAACTCAAATGTGAAGATATTTACATGCTCCTGCGCTGCTGTACTCATGAGTGCTACGCTATGACCACCTACTCACTGGAACAGAAATGGGAAAAAGATGAGGCTGAAACCTTACTGGCAATCTGCAGAGGGATCAGTGCGCGGTCTGTTCGCAACCAGGATGATAGAAGAGGATGGGCTACAAGACGGGTAGCATTCGTTGTCCGTAGACTCGCCATGCAGTAGCTTGTTCTCGCCTAGGCTTTCGAAAGTGCTGGTCAGAGTGAGGGGGTAAATGGAAGGTCCGTAGAGCCCGTGTGAGAGGCCGCTCATGGAGCTCGGTCGCTCCGAGATGGCCGCCAATCCGCCATCGTCCGCGTCCGGCTGGCTCGCTCCTATCTTGTGCTTGGCCCAGTACCAGCTGGAGGCAGTCGCATTGCAGTGATCGGAGTTGTTCAGCCCCGTGCCCCACAGCGAGCACGGTGCCAATTCTTCGCAAGAATAGCACCAGCACTGCAACCATTCGACACGAGCACGCACACAGTCTCAGACACAAATATTATCAGCTCATCAATCCCACGTGCTGTCAGCAACTCCCTACAATTCATCGCTCATCGGGCCCCGAAGGCTGCGCATTATATGACGACGAAGCGTACGACCGACCGACCGATCTCCCGCAACTACTGCACAGGAATCGCTCCCTTCGATTGGGGATTCTCTCTCCATCTTCTGAAGCTCGCACCTTCTTCGGCACGTAGATGGCAAGATCGCCAGCCATGCATGCACACGGGCGACGTGATTGCCGTGCGTACGAGCCTTCTGAGCGCGTACGGAGTACAACGTCGAGACGACGTATGACTAGATTCGTTCCTTACTTACTCACTTACTTGCTGACTTACGTGCGCCATTGGCCCTCATTCAAGACCATCATCATGCATCGTATGCTCGACGGCGGATCTCGGCGACGCGATCGAATTGGTTCTTTATGACGGCCATTAGAGGTTCGTTCTGCGGGCGGGGGGGCATTTGGTTTCACCTTGTTGCAGTGGGCGCTGTTGGATAAGCATGGCGGAGGAATGAACGGGAATACGGAGCAGAGGTGGCGAGGATGCGGAGAGTCTCGCGAGAACTGGCTCTCGTTGTTGTCCATGTCGCTGTGAGCGCCGCCGCAGTGAGATCCGGCCGAGAAGGTGCTCGGGCCGCCGCCGCCGCCTCCTCCTCCTTCACCGTCTGCGGTCCCGGCGGAATCATCCACACTGCACGACAGCATCAGCCTCTGGCGCTTCTGATGCGCGCACTCGTCGGTGAGAGCGGTCGATCGCTTCCAGTAGTAGAGCATGTCCCGCTCTGCCTCGTTCTGGCCCCTCTCCGGAGGCTGGATGTACAATTCCGTGTCCAGATCCAAGGTCGAAGGTGCCTGCAGACTGTACTGCGCCCCGCTGAAGGACCTGCAATTCGGACCTTCAGTTTTCATTGATCTGGCTTGCAAACGAGCTCCTGCTGTCTTGGGATTATTCTCTCCGCTCACTTCCGCCGTCTCATGAATGGTTCGATCGATCTCTTCACGATGCTCACTGACTTACCGACCGACCGACCGACCGACCGACTGCTGCGCCAGCTCCTCCACCCTTCTGCAGCTCTTATGCGATCCTTCGAGTCGTCGCCGTGTGGCGGCTAGACAGGACGATTCTCGCCCCGCAGAGGAGGAGACGCCATGACGTGCAACAACAGCTGGAATCAACCCCCCCGCCGTTCTCGACAGGCATCCATGGCGCACGCAGCCGCCGACGATCACGAGTCGATCACCGACCCACGCGTCCCAAGTCCCCTCCCCTCCCCTCCTTCCCTGAACCGCGGGACGGAAAAATCTCACTTGGAAAGCTCGTACAATTCACGCTCGCGGCGAATTCTCGAGCTGCAATGCTGCAATCTCGACGAGCCCGGGGGTCCGTATCACGAAGGAAATGAATTCGGAGCCCTCGTGCGGCAACCGATTCGAGCCCGAAGCGCCGATGAAGCCGATGATCGGAACGCTTGCGGGCGCACACGGCCTAATGGCTCCAGCGTCGGGGCCCGAGATGCTGTTAACTGGACTGGCCGTGGGGTCACGTGACAGGGGCAGCACCTGAAAAGCGCAAGGGTACCAAGGGTTGCAGGCCCGCCACGTGGCGCCGAATGAGTAGCAGCAACGGCCACGAAAGTTCTTGCTGCGCGATCTTGGGACTGTTCGAGCCAAGAGTCAAGACGCCGAAGCCGTTAGCGTCCTCCTCCTCCTCCTCCTTCCTCCTCCTCGTCCGTCCGCGCGGATGCGGCCTCGGCCTCCACCGGATTACCGGGGCGTCCCTTTCTTCCCTCCGGCCTACTCAAAGAACCATCTCCAGCGCGAACCGTTGAGCGCTCGGCTCGCCCGGTTAGTACCCGCCCCTCTCTCTCTCTCTCTCTCTCTCTCATTCCGTCGGGTCAGTACCCGACGGAATATCGTGGCGCATTCCGTCGATTGCCGGATTGCGTCCGTCGGAGCGGCTCCCCGGCTCCAGGGAGGGGCTCGATGGGGATGGGGGGGAGACGCGCAGACTTAGCGCGTGGGGACGGAGTTTGTCATAATGGAGTTTTGTAATCCCCCCGAGCAGAGAACGAACCGTTGACGGACGAGTCGCAACGCGATGCAGGGGCGGGGCATGCAATCATGAGGTGGTGATTTCCGAACTCGGTTGATGATGGGGCTGATGATGATGATGAGGAGCGCGAGCGAGAGAGAGAGAGAGAGAGAGAGGACGAGAGAGGAGCTTGGACTCGGGACTGCTGCTGCTGGAAAAGAATCGGAGCTCGATGCCGTTGCTGCGCTCCTAGCGGCCGAGGTGCTGTTACTGCAATTGGCCACTTTTTGGTGAGAGAGAGAGGAGCCTGGTATTGCTGTTGCTATTGCTATTCGACTTGCTATTGCTGCTGGAAAAGAATCGGAGCTCGATGCCGTTGCTGCAATGCGGCCTGTCTGCTGTTACTGCAATGGGCCACTTTTTGGTTCCAGAATTATTCCTCGTGCAATCGCCATGATTGAGCCGCTAAGCCTTCAGCCTTTACCGGCCCTTCTGGTCAATGTGCCTCTCTGGCATGCCATCATGTTTTCACTCTCCCCGTTACGGACCGACCGAACAATTTCGCAACATCTTATTTCTCTCATCTTTTCGTCTCGTCTTTCCTCTACTCTCATCTCCTCTCTCTCTCTCTCTCTCCCCCTGATCCCCTTGAGGACAAGTTCCGAGAGATGGGCGCTCTGTCGCCATCACTCTTTCAACCTTTGTTAAAGATATTTTCTAAATAATTCAAAATATATGTAACCGATCGAATTCACAGAGATGTACTATTCTTTATTAACCGACAGTATCAAACCATCCCCATAGTCACTCAACTTCCACATGGCAACAAATCTGAGTGATCAATTTACGAATTCTGTAATTGAGTGGGAACCTATCTGTGTTTATGAGATGGTACACCACTGTCTCGACTTGCACCTGTTTAGCTGGAGAACTACTCACATTGATATAGGATAAATAACTCGTGACAACGCGCATAATATCAATGGTAGAAACCATAGTAGAAAACCATGAATCAAACTGAACTAAATTATATTTAACCAAACCAAACCAGTGACTATCAAGATGTACATTTATTTGCTACTCGAAGTGTGTGAAACTAAGTCATCTTTTTTATTATTATGATGGATTATGTTTAAGAAGTCTGAGGGCTTTACATAGATTACATATGAGTAGGACGACGGTAGCATGTGAACAAGGAAAAATAGAAAATTGAATCTAGAAGGGAGAGGTGGAAAGCAGATTTGAATAATGGTTGTTCAGTAGCCCAGAGAAAGATTGATCCTGAAGAGTAAGTAATCTGTGAGTATCTAATTGATCTGTGAATTTTGAAAATAGGTAATTGAGAAGATGCACATTCACATCGGAAATTGTGCGTCTTATCACTCACCTATTTTGATTGACTGCAACAAAAGACATAATTTTCAGACCTCACCTACTCTTTAATTGTTATTTCATAGGAATGTACTCTTGATCTATAATACACTTTCACATCAAAAAATTTGCGAACCACAATCAAGAGCAATTAAAAAATATTATCATTAAAAATTATTTTGTAATTTCAAACTAATACAAACTTATCTTGTAATACAAGATTTTTGATATAAAACTAGACATATATACAAAAATTATTTTATGTGAATAATTTAGCTTCAATTGAGTCTACAATTTAAATATTGATGCTTTTGAACAAATCAAAATTTTTCCTTAAATAACATTTTAAACGTTAATCTAAATTGAGTTCGATGTCATGACACATTTATAAATTGCTTAATATTTCAAAAATAATGCTTGAAACAAGTTAATACAAATTGTAGTTGATGAGATCATTATTTTCAAAATTTTTATAGAAAAAAGAAAAAATCTCATACTAAAAATTATTTGATTAATTTTCTAGTTTTGATAAGAATAGAATGATTATTTTATTATTATTTCAAAACTTTTTATGAAAAATATAAATTTAATAATATTTATATATACATAATATAAATAGTAATCTTTTAAAATTAAATATTTATTTAGCTACAAAGTCAAACCATCCAAAAGTGTCACCTCCTATGAATGACATGTTTCCATTAGTGACATCAAAATGAAGAATCATTAGTTTATAACTTTTAAATCTGTTCAATAATAACAATACGTCATTACTCCCAATATTGACATGATAGTATTCAATAGTAACAGAGTTGAGCTACAGTTCCTATTATAGTTATCGTAAGGATTGGTTCAAAGATTGCGTGTTTAGATCAGACAAAAGTCAAACAAAATTCATAAATCAAACAAAATGCAGGTTTAGAATGAGATTGACTTTACATAAGCAATCAAGATGCGGGTTTAGAATTGCATGAAAGTCAAAAAAAATTTAGAAGTCAAATAGAAAGCGAGTCTATTGACATATGGATTGTAAAGAAGTTTACGACATGTATAGTCAAGATGCAAGTTTAAAATAAAATGGGAGTTGAACAAAATTTAGAAGAACACCAATAAAACTGCCTATCTCAAAAGTTTGAAAATTTTTGTAACACATCAAATAAAAAACTTGCACGGTCCCATCCAAAGATGCATTGACGAAAGAACAAATTCTCAAAAGGAAGAACATGTCAATGATAGCGTTGGTTTGCCCCGTGAATATTACAAAATAAAAAGATATTGAATTGTTCCAAAACTAAACATTATATTCAAAAATTTGAAATTCATTTTTTAATGAAATTCAATGTAAAAATTACCTAATCGTGCAAATTCCTCTACAATCTTTTCAAATTTTAGACTTTAAATAATACCTCATACACAATCATTGATAACTTATTACTAATTTGATTTGTAAGATACACAATTATACAGATCTGTAACGAAAGTGAGATGAAGATGAGTCAAATTCCTCTAAATAGAGTGATTGAATCTTCAATCAACAAATCACATCTTTAGTTTATTGTCATCTGCGCCCGTGACCAAAAGCTTTGAATCATAAAAGTAGGCGACGCAATTGACATCAAAATAATGATTCAGCTACTTCAAAAGATAGGTTTCTGATTGTCACTTCCATACTAGCAGCTGATCAAGTTTTGCACATCATAAATGCTAGCCCATAGATGAGAACATATTGAAATTGACAATAGATGAAGATAGATGAATTTTGAAAGATGTCTTACAATTTATGGTCAAATTATATATTTACATTTACCTCCTTTACTAACCTTGATAGTTGATCAAGAGAAATTTGAGATAGAAAAGATACTCAAAAAATGGATTTGAGGTCATAAGTATCCCAAGATTGAGTATTTGGTTCAATGGAAAGTATATCTATTATACGAATCAACTTAAAAACCAGCTAGAAATCTAGCTAATGCACCATTGATAGTTCAAGAATTTGAATGGATGTGTAATGAGGACGTTACGTCTTAAAAGGAGAAAAGTTTGTAACTATCTTTAGTTAGTTAAAACTAAATTAGAGATTATTCTAAATTTTGATATAGATATTTTAACGTGCACTAATCATAACTGCCATATCAGCTATCCGCGTGCTTGGTAGGTAGAGAGTATGTGTGTTAGTTGAAAGCGCCACTTAAACAATCCGTGTGCTTGTTAGGTAGATTGAGTGTGTTAGTTACTGTGTTATGTGAAAACGACACGTAAGCCATTAGTGTGCTTGTTAGGGTTATCCGCCACGTCATCCATCCATCAGGAGTGGGATGGATGGTGGAGATATTATATTATTTCCTTGTATTTGTTGGTGAGAGCTATATAAAAGAAAGAGTAACATTGTTGGTATCTTTCTTTTTCACAAATTATGTTTCCATCTTCGAGTGAACTTCTCTATAAATTCTAATGTTATAGTAAATTACCCTATTTACATCTACCTTTTACCAATTTACTGGGTAACCCTAAAAGTTTACTCGGTATGGTTAACCTTTTACCTTTTAAGAATGTGTACCAAGTAACCGAGTAAATTATCATGAGGTAGAGCTAAAGGATAAAGTTAGATAGTAGTGGTGCGGGTAAGATAAAATGTAAGGTAACGATAGAGAGTCATGCATTTCTCGATAACCTTTTATCTTATCTTGCATAGGCTTATCCATCATCAAAGATTCTATTTCTTGACATTAATTAAATAATGATCAAATTTTCCCACTATCATATGCGTGAACGGATATTTTCTCTTGTCATGACGAAGAGACTAAGAACTCTCACCCTCTTTCAATAATCTACATGTCATTGAAAGAAACATCTCTAGACAAGAATCTTACAACCTATTAAATTGCATAGCCAAAAATCCAGATGCTCAGATATGTAGGTTGTCATTCCGATCACTATTCATTGACATCAAACCAATGCAATTTCTCTACATGCATGCAATTAGAACATTGCATTACCTCTTGGCCATGAAAGCTGAAGCAATACAATGAAAATAAAACCAATGAAATAGAACAAATGCATGCATACAAGTTTTGTAATTGATCTATCTCCGCCGTAAACG